CCATCAACGGACGAATGGGTCAAGAAGATGTGGTTTATCTATATAATGGAATCCTACATGGCAATGAGAAGGAATGAAATCTGACCATGTGTAGCAACGTGGATGGAACTAGAGGGTGTTATGCTGAGCGAAATAAGTCAGGCAGAAGACAGATACCATATGTTTTCACTCATATGTGGAACAGGGGAAACTTAACAGAGGACCATGGGGGAGGAGGAGGGGGAAAATAGTTGTGGAGAGGGAGGGAAGCAAACCATGAGACTCATAAATACTGAGAACAAACTGAGGACTGATGGGGGGGGGGCGGAGAGGGAGAAAGGGGTGATGGCCATGGAGGAGGGCACTTGTTGGGATGAGCACTGGGTGTTATATGGAAAGCAACTTGACAATAAACTATAAAAGAAAAAAAAAGAGTGTAAGAGCTTAAACCAGATTTCAGGTCCCTGGACTCAAGACAGGACCCTTTCTACTCTACACTGCTGTCTGTACAAGTAGCTACTTTTTTTTTGGTATGCGTGGACTCATTCCCTTCTACTTTCATTTTTCCCAGTTAGAAAGTGTGTCTGAGAGATGATATGCTAATATAGAGCATTGAAGACCCAACCTGCTTACTCAGTGCTTAATTGGTTTGCTTATTATTATCTGTTTCTTCCCAACTGGATGGTAGTTTCCTTGAGGGCATGGCAATTTCTTTCCTTAGGTCCTTGGTTAGTACAACCCAGAAGTAGGCAGAGAGCAGGAGCCACATCTAAAGTCAGGGGTGCGGTGGGGAATTGAGACTGGGTAAACCTCGGCCGGGGGAAGGACAAGAATGAAGTGAGAGAGACACCTTCAGAGCAACAAGATTTTAAGGCCTTCAACTACTTTCTTCATTGCTGTATCCCTCCCACCTAAAGCAGCGTCTGGCACATGTCAAAATTCATATGGTTGTTCAATAAATAAGTAGCTAAATTCACCCATAAAAACATTGGATCTGAAAGAAATTATTTTTAAGTTTACTTATTTTTATTTTGAGAGAGAGAGAAAGAGAGAGAGAGCGGGGGAGGGGCAGAGAAAAAGAGAGAGAGAGAATCCCACGCAGGCTCTACACTGTCAGTGCAGAGCCTGAAGAGGGGCTTGAACCCACAAACTGTGAGATCATAACCTGAGCCAAAACCAAGGGTTGGGTGCTTAACTGACTGAGCTACCCATGCATCCCCAGGAAGGAATTTTTATAGAAAAATGACCTATATAAATTAATTTGGTATAAAGAATTAAACTGTAATATTAAAAGTACAAACGATCGGGAGTCGTTTTTAACAGTGTTCGATAGGATGTATCATGCTACCTAGGTTTCCGCTCAATGGGAACACATTTTTAGTTCTATCACTAGGAAGGATGTGGGTTTCCTCTTACAAAAGGGATATAAAGTTCTTTGCTACACATAGCAAACAAAACATTGATCTCTCAAAGTGAAAATAGGACAATAAACCCAAAAAGGAAAACTCAGTTATTGAAAGCTCAGTGTGGCTGACAGAGGGTGGCCCCTCGAAAACAACTATGTTTTAAATTTTTAAATTTTAAAATTTTGTTAATGTTTATTTATTTTTGAGAGAAAGACAGAAAGTGAGTGGGGGAAGTGCAGAGAGAGCGAGCGAGACACAGAATCTGAAACAGGCTCCAAGCTCTGAGCTGTGAGCACAGACCCCGATGTGGGGCTTGAACTCAGGAATGGCGAGATCATGACCTATTCTGAAGTCAGATGCTTAACCAACTGAGCCACCCAGGCGCCCCGCATATGTTAGTTTTTAATAGTGTTAAAATAGCAAAAGGAAATTAAGATTGCAGGTGGAATTAACCAACTGACCTTAAAATGAGGAGATTTCTATTCTATTCTATTCTATTCTATTCTATTCTATTCTATTCTATTCTACTCTATTCTACTCTACTCTACTCTACTCATCTAGACCCATGAGTCTGATCTAATCATGGAGACCCTGAATATGCAAGACAAGGGCACAAGCGTCACTGCCAGAAAATGAACTGTGAGAAAAACGTGACATGGCTTTGAAGATAAAGGAATAATGTCAGGAGCCACAGAACGCGAGCCATCTCTAGAAGCTGAAAAAAGGCAAAGAAAGGCAGTGTCTTCTAGAGCCTCCACAAAGCAGGCAGAGCTGTCTACCCATTTTGGACTTCTGACTTCCAGAACTGTAAGATAAAAACCCGTGTTGGTTTAAGCCACCAAACGTGGGGCGATCTGTCACAGCAGCAATAAGAAACTAACACACCCAGTTTAAAACAGAGCTGTAGAATCACAAAACTCCATGTGTGACACCCAATGGACTCTGAGTATGTACATAATTCAAGAACAAGGAACTGCTACAGGTTGAAGTGTGCCACCCCCAAAGCTCAGACATTGAAGTCCTAGCTTCCAGTACCGCAGATTGTGACCTTACTTGGAAATAGTCTTTACAGAGGTATTCGAGAAGTAAAAGGAGGTCATTAAAATGGGCACTAATCCAATATGGCTGCTGTCCTTTAAAAAGGGGGAAATTTAGAGACACCTAGGTGGCTCAGTGGGTTGAGCGTTGGACTCTTCGTTTTGCTCAGGTCATGATCTCACAGTTTGTGAGTTCAAGCCCTGCCTTGGGGTCTCCACTAAGCACAGAGCCTGCTTGGGATTGTCTCTCTCCCTTTTTTTCCTCTCAAAAGGTGGCTCGGAACCTGCTCGAGACTCTCTTTCTCTGTCTTCTCTCTGCCCTTCCCCCACTTGCAATGGCGCACAGGTGATTTCTCTCAAAACAAATAAATAAATGTTATAAATATATAAATACATAAATAAAAAGGGGGAACTTTGAAGACAGACTCCCATGCAGGGAGAATGCCATACCAACATAAGGAAAGTCATCTACAAGCCAAAGAAAACGGCCTGGAACAGATCTCTCCCACCTCTCAGAAAGAAGCAAGGTGGCCAACATGCTGATTTTAGACTTCCAGCCTCCAGAACTGTGAGACAATACATCTCTGTTCTGTAAGCCACCCAGTTTGTGGCCCTTTGTCAGAGCAGCCCTAACAAGCTAATAGTGAGGAAGGCACTGAGAAAAGAGTGTATGATTTTCACTGAAGCAACAGAGGTGTGTGGTCCTATTGCATTTTGCTTTATTGTGCTTTACAGGTATTGCATTTTTTGTTTTGGGGGGGTGGTTTTTTTGTTTGTTTGTTTTACAAATGGCAGGTTTGTGGCAACTTTGCATCTTTTTTTCAACAGCATTTGCTCCCTTCGTGTTTCTGGGTCACATTTTGGCTATTCTCACAATATTTCAAACTTTTTAATTATTATTGTATTTGTATAGTGGTCTGCATTCAGTGATTATGACTCTCTGAAAGTTCAGATGATGGTTCACCTCTTTTAGAAATAAAAGTATTTTGGGGGCCCCGGGGTGGTTCAGTCAGTTAAGCGTCCGACTTCAGCTCAGGTCATGATCTCATGGTTCATGAGTTCGAGCCCCACGTCGGGCTCTATGTTGACAGCTCAGAGCCAGGAGCCTGCTTCAGATTCTGTGTCTCCCTCTCTCACTGCCCCTCCGCTGCTTACACTTGTCTCTGTCTCTCAAAAATAAATATTTAAAAATTTTTAAATAAAAAAAGAATTAGAAGTATTTTTAATTAAGTATTACATTGTTTTTGTAGACAGAACGCTATTGCACACTTGATGGACTAAGTAAAGAGCAAACATAACTTTTGTTTGCACTGGCAAACTAAAAATTTCACCTGACTCACACTTCATTGCAATATTCACTTTAATGTGGTGGTCTGAAGCCAAACTCGCAATATTTCCAAAGTATGCCTGTAGTGCTTGACTCTTGAACAGCACAGGCTTAAGGACACCAATCCCCTGCGCAGCAGAAAACGGGTGTAAAACTTTTGACTCCCCCAAAACTTAACTACTAAGAGCCTACGGTTGACCAGAGCCTTACCAATAACATAAACAATCGAGCAACACTTATGTTGCAGATCATATGTATTATATACTGTACTCTTACAATAAAGTCAGCTAGAGAAAAGAAAGTGCCAGTAAGAAAATCCTAAGGAAGAGAAAACACATTTACAGTACTGCACTGTACTTACTGGAAAAAATCCATGTGTAACTCAAACCTGGGACGCTAAGGGTCAACTGTACTCCCCATGTCTCACTGAAAGACTCAGATGGCCCCTGGCTGAGTGTTAGGAGTACTGAGGAGCACTAATCAGGTCGAAGCCACCATTTCCAGGTCCATTACAGTGTGTGTGCGCGCTGCACATTACAGGGGCTCGGTGGTTGATTTCCACACCCACCAATGGCCCGGGCTAAGCAGCAGGAAGAGAGCTTGGTCCGAAATGTATGAGAAACTCAGATGGCAAGAAGATTCCTAACAGAAAGACGCCACAATCACAGAAATGAAAAGGAAAAGGGGCGCCTGGGTGGCTCAGTCGGTTAAGCGTCCGACTTCAGCTCAGGTCACGATCTCACGGTTGGTGGGTTCGAGCCCCGCGTCGGGCTCTGTGCTGACGGCTCAGAGCCTGGAACCTGCTTCGGATTCTGCGTCTCCCTCTCTCTCTGCCCCTCCCCTGCTCACGCTCCGTCTCTCAAAAATAAATAAACGTTAGTAAAGTTTAAAAAGAAAGAAATGAAAGGGGAAAAAGGAGACAAATGGGCATGAAATTGACAAGCAGGGAGAAGGGAAAGAGATGCAGAAAAAGAGAAGACAAATTAAGAAGAAAACAAAAATTCCGTCAACACGGAACAGCAGATCGCACTGTACAACCATAAAAACATAAAAGTCGAAATCCACAAGGTGTTCCTGCCAAAGAAATACGGGTACATTCACCTGGTGATCGCTGTTCGTTCGTCTACACTTCGAACCGCCTCTCGCGACCTTCCCACCCCTGGGTCCCTCCCGCGCGTTCTTCCCAAACGCCCAAGTCCGCATCCCGGGCAGCATCGCCTCCCACCCCCGCCCCCGAGCCCAGTTCGCTACCGTGTCCCTCCTGCGGCCACCCTGCTCTCCGATGGAGCTGGCCCAGCCGGAGGGGCGGGGAACGATCCTTCTGGATACGACAAGGTGTGCCCGCCTCAAGGACACGCTTCTCAGTCCCTCCTTCGCGCTGCGGGGCGTGGCTGCCAGCGACGGACGGAGTTCGGGCGGGCGGCCCACGAAGGGGAGCCTGCGGGCACCGAGGGTTCCGGGACTCGCCGCACACCGGCCCGCAGGAAGCCTCTGCTGAAACTGTAAAGGCTGCACTTGTCGCCGTTCTACTTGCTGAGTTCCTCCTCCAGAGATTGCTACTTGGTCAGGTACGAAGGGGACGTCAGATCGGGTTAAAAAAATGCAAAGTCTTGAAAAAGCGCAACAGCGCCACCTCATGTCCGACATTGTAACAGCAGCCTTCGTTTGTGCTCAAAATGGTCCGGATTCGGTCAGGATTTTCGCTTGATGGGTCCTCTCCGGGGATAATCTCCACCTCAAGCCTTTGCTGGGGAATCTCTAGGGAATAAATGGAAACAAAAGTATCAGTAGTAGGTAATCAATTGTTAGCATATATTTGCTAAATACATTCTGGGCTCTCTTCTAGGGACGCGGCGTAAACAAAAGTAGTTATATTACCTGCCCATGCGGCATTTATAATCACAGGAAACACTGAAGAAAATACACAGCTGAAATAATTCCAAAGTAGATACTAACACTTAATACAGTACTATTAAAGAAATGCGGGTCATAGATAAAGAGGTGACCGGTTTGTTGAGGACTGATAGCATACCAAACAGAAAGGGGTACCCGAATAGGAAGAATGTAGGTGTGTGTACTGTGGAATATTTAGAGACTGAGGTGTTTTAGTTCTCTAGAGGCTTCTCTACTGATTTTTTTCTTCTCCTTTAGAGCTCTTTTAAAATTGGGTGAACTGTACTAAATGTCACTGATTTACACATTTTAAATAGTTAACGAGTAATTCTATATCATGTGACCTTTACATCAATGTCATATGAAGTCTCAAGAGTGCCTGGGTGGTTCAGTCGGTTGAGCATCTGACTTTTGATTTCGGCTCAGGTCATGATCTCACAGTTTGTGAAATTGAACCCATGTCTCTGGAGCCTGCTTGGGATCCCCCCCCCCCCCCCCCCCCGGCCCCCTTTGCCCCACTCCTATGCTCTCTCTCTCTCTCTCAAAATAAATAAATAAGCATTTTTTAATGGATGAATTTGGGGCACCTGGGTGGCTCAGTTGGTTGGGCATCCGACTTTGGCTCAGGTCATGATCTCATGGTTCGTGAGTTCAAGCCCCTCTGTGCTGACAGCTCAGAGCCTGGAGTCTGCTTCAGATTCTGTGTCTTCTTCTCTCTCTGCCCCTCCCTTACTCTTGCTCTGTTTCTCTCTTCTCTCTCAAAAATAAACATTAGAAAAAATCTCATTATAGTGGAGGAACCATTATAGTGATAGATGTTACAACCCCCAGCATGTAGGGATTTGTTTTTAAATGAAGAAAAATACAACAAAGAGGAAGAGGCCACAATTCACTCTCCACTTCTACTGAGCAATGCAAACAAATGATGATGTTTGTTTTAATCTCTGAGATAGAAATAGCAATATTCAGATACAGGAACGCCTAAGTACATAGTAGATGCAGTGCTAGTTAAAATAGAAGGTATAAACAGGAGGGATGTCTCGTGCTTACACTCATGAGTAGGGTGGCAGAAATCTGTTATTTCTTTTCTTCTCTCTCCAAGTGTCCATTCCCGTATAATTTCAGCTATCACGTCTCTGTCTCAAATTTCTGGTCCTCTGACTCATTTTCAGCAATGAGTATTGCAGTCCCTGCCAGGTGCTTATTTCTGCCTCACAATTAATTCAATAAGCATGGATTGAGTGCTCATTGTTTACACTGCTCATGTGAAATACTGAATTGTAGGAATTCACACTGAAATATCCACCAGGAACCTCTTCGTTCTGTAGTTTACTCCAGATAAGGCTTTTTTAGATCCCGCTTTCGTTGGAACTCCTACAACAGCCATCCATTCAAGTGTTACTTAGTGCATTCTCTCATGTGGTGGTGGATACTCCTGAAATCAGTTTACATGAGGCATGGAGAAACCCCTGGGGAATCATGAATTATAAGGAAACAGGAAGTCAGGACACGACTTACAACTGAGTTCAAGGGCAAGAAGACTGTAAGTCCAACTGGGGGAGTTGTTTCGCAAAGGAACCACAACAGACATTAGACTTTGGGTACCGTTTCTTTGGAACTGTTGCAAAGGAGTTTAACACCAAAGTGAGGCAGAACGATTCTCCAAGCTTTGTGGGAAAGTGCAGCTGGAGGCCCCCATCAGAGGGCAGCCTGGTGCTGAGGCCTGGCTGGACCGCTTGCCCCGCACAGGGAACCAGAGCAACTCTGAAGCTGTGAATGGAGTCACTGTGGCAGTGCCTGGCACCTAATAGGGGCTTCCCGGGCATCAGAAGGACACTAGACATCAGCAGGGAGAGTCTAAGGCAGAGAAGGAAAATGGCAGACTCCGTGTAGGAGCTGGGATTTGAGGTGGTGAAAATTTACGAGGTAGTTCACTGCCCTGAGGGCTTCCAGGGCCACTTAAGGAACAGGTGTTGGTTGGTTGGTTGGTTGGGTTTTGAGAGAGACAGACAGAGAGAGAGCACCGGAGGGGCGGAGAGCGATGGAAACACAGACTTGGAAGCAGGCTCCAGGCTATGAGCTGTCAGCACAGAGCCCGATGCGGGGCTCGAACTCATGAACCGTGAGATCATGACCTGAACCGAAGTCGGAGGCTTAACCGACTGACCCACCCAGGTGCTCCGAGGAACAGGTTTTTAAAATAAATCTGAGGTTCTGCAACTAACTAAAAACAAAAACAAAGAACAGGGGCGCTCTCTGTCCGTATGACCTCAGGTTTAACCCAGGCTGGTGTGTCCTCAGGCAACACAAAGTTAAATACTTTGCATGTATACATTGTTTCCTTTTCTGTCACTGATGTAACACATTACCACAAAGCCAGTGGGTGAAACAATACAAAATTACTATTTTCCAGCTTTGTAAGCCGGAAGTCCAGCACTGATCTCTCTAGGCTAAAATCAAGGTGTTGGCATGTTCATTGCCAGAGGCTCTTGGAGAACGTCTGTTTCCTTGCCTTTCCCAACTTCTAGAAACCTCCCACATTTCTAGGTTGAGCCAACAATGGCCAGTCTAGTCCTCACATCATATGTGTTTCTCTGACCGCTATACTATCATGATCTCTCTGTCTCTGACCACAGCTGGGGAAGTTTCTCCACATGTAAGGACTCCTGTGATGTGTGGATTGGGCCCATGGGATAATTTCCCATCTGAAAGTTCATAACCAGGACACCTGGGTGACTTAGTCAGTTAAGCATCTGATTTCAGCTCAGATCATGATCTCACGCTTGTGGGTTCGAGCCCCGCATCAGGCTCTGTACTGACAGCTCAGAGCCCGGAGCTGCTTCTTATTCTGTGACTCTCTCTCTCTCTCTCTCTCCTCCTCTCCTGCTCACGCTGTCTCTCTGTGTCTCTCAAAAAGAAACAAACATTTAAAATCAATCAATAAATAAAAGTCTATAACCTTGGTCACACTGTAGAGTCCCTTCTGTTGTGTAAGGCCACAAGGCCACAGGTTCTGAGGATTTGATTGTGAACTCTCTGGGGGACATTATTCTGTCTCCCAGACATCGCTTGGAAGAGAGTTTAGCCTAAGGTCCGTATCTCACACCTCTTTGTACTACCTGTTTCCTGCAAACAGTGAGAGATCCATAATTGTTGACCACAAAAGACAAATCTCACCTGCCAACTACTTTTATTCTGGGAAAGAATCATTCAGCGTAGTTTAGAGATCAGAGACCCACAGCTAGTTTCCACGGTTTATGCCAACTCGGACAGGCTGACCTTTCTGGGCCTCTTGTTTTCTCACTTGTGAAATGAGGATGGAGTAAATGAGCCCCAAGCTGTGGTCAAGTTTTACATCCCATGATTCTCTAATCCTTGAACACAAGGGATTAGAGCACCAAAACCTCCTCTGGTCCAAATCCTTGCCGACTGAAGCCATTTCCTGCAGGACCTTATCTGGCACGACCTTATCCAGTTCTGTCTAAACTTCCTCAGGATGAAGACCTACTTCCAGGCAGCTCATTCCAGTCAGGACCGCTCTATCAGAAAGTTTCCTCATACTAAGGAAAAGAAGGTGACTTAGCTTCACTCACCCCCTACCTATTTGTTCATAAAATGGAGATGGAAAATATCTATCTCGTCAAGGTGTTGGGTAGTTCATGTAAGAAAATATACTTGAGGGGCGTCTGGGTGGCTTCAGCTCAGGTCATGATCTCGCGGTCCGTGGGTTCGAGCCCCGCGTCGGGCTCCGTGCTGACAGCTCGGAGCCTGGAGCTGCTTCAGATTCTGTGTCTCCCTCTCTCCTGCCCCTCCCTTGCTCTCTCTCTCTCATAAATAAATAAGCATTTTTAAAAAAGAAAATATACTTGAGGGGTGCCTGGGTGGCTCAGTATTAAGCGTCAGACTCTTGATTTTGGCTCATCTCATGATCTCCAGGTTCCTAAGTTCAAGCTGTCAGGCTCTGTGCTGACTGCTTGGGATTCTCTGTCTCCCCCTCTCTCTGCCCCTCCCCTACTCATGCTGTCTCTGTCTCTCTTAAAATACATAAAACAATATAAAAAAATTTACTTGAAAGTACTCAAAAATCAAGAGTATTATATAAACGTTAACAGTCACTTATCTGATACTATTAATAATAACAATCTAGATTTTCATTAACCTCTACTGATGCAATCTATGATGGGTTGTACATTGTTGTTGTTTTAATTTTATCTTATTCCAGTCCCCTTCATGCAAAGTATTAAAAATAATCCTGAATCAAATCTCTGACTTACACTTTTCTGGCTGTATTATTGAGACATGGTCAACTATAAGTTGATTTAAAACAATGGGGGCACTTGGGCGGCTCAGTCAGTTAAGCATCTGACTGTGACTCAGATCATGACTTCATGGTTCATGAGCTCGAGTCCCACATCGGGTGAACACAAGCCCTGCTTCAAGTAAAAA